CCCCAAAACCCCAAAACCCCAAAGACTGTATTATGCTATATTAAGAAATAAAGATAAAAATTATCAGACACAGGTTCCTGTTGAAATACACTGGATATACTGTGGAGTATCGATGTTAATATTGGAACTGCCATACTTGGAGAAGTCGAGCATCTCGTAGAAATAGTATGCTGCAAGTTGCTTCTAACTAAAATCAAGTGAGTTCTTTAAGTTTCTTAACACTTGAGATTGCTCATTGAACTTCGCACTGATAGCTCCTGACTTTGCCTCACCTTCAGCTGTAACCTTTGATGCATATGCTTGAGCATTATTAACAATAACTAATTAAGAATTGATACAATACAAATACTTACCATTAGCGTCTTGAAGGGCTTTATTAATTCTTCCTGCAGACTTTCCTATCTCTTGATCTTTTTGATAGGTCACAGTTTGAACATTTAGATTTAAGTTCTCAGTGTCAATAAGAGCCTGAGAAAAGTTGCCTGGCAAATCTATATCTAGTAATTGAAAAGACTGAACTCTCACTCTATACTCTACTAGTAACTTATCTGTAAGCGTTGTTCTCATTCTAGCTTCAATACTAGATCTCTCATAGAACACCTATAAAGCATCAAATTCAGCCATAGCATTTCTTAGAATATTTCTGGCAGCAGCTATAAATGCATCCTCGTACTCATCACCCCAATCTTTATAAAGGACAAGCAAATCATTTTTATCAACCGATAACTAATATTAAAAACTGCACTCAATATTAACTAGCAAGGCGTCCTTTGTTCTAGAAACCAAGGAATCAATAAGCTTGTCAGCCTTGGTGGTAGTTGATTTCTAACTACCGAATTATACTGTTCTCAGATTCTTAATAAAAGTGATGAAATAATGGCCTGGACCTGTGAAGAAGGTACCCTCTGTATAAAGCTAATCCTCATTTATGCTAACTGAGTTTGGGTTATAATCAAATCCCACTTCATATGCTTCAAGTTTATGAACAGATGTGGCAATTAAGACGATTGCCATGATCACTACAGCGACAGTGAAGGAAACTAGAAAAGTTAAACAAATACCAATGAATACTGCAAATGGTTTTGCAACAGCAATTTTTTTCACACATTTTGATATAAATATATTTTACACAATTAAATTTCTGAGATTACCAAAAACATCAATAGAGTTGAAATTCATTTTAAACTTTATTTTTCTGATTAATTCTATTGATATTTTAAGCTCGGGGTTTTGGGGTTTTGGGGTTTTGGGGTTTTGGG